TTCCTTTGACTTTGTCGACTCAATTAAAAATATCAACGTAATTGGTAAGAAAGTAATCTCATTAGATGTCACTTCTCTTTTTACGAATGTTCTTCTCACATAAACTACTTATTTTTTATGTGACTATATCGAAAACAATAACCTTGATATGTGTATCCCAAAACATCTCAAAGAACTACTTCTACGACGTACGCTCAACGTGCAATTTAGATTTAATGATGATTTTTATAGACAAATAGATGGGGTTGCATTGGGTTCTCCATTAGATCCTCTCTTGCCTAATTGTTTCATGGCCAATCTAGAAAATTCGGTACTTCGACCAATAATTGAGAGATTTCATTTGTGTAAGAAATATATGGATGATACTTTCATTATTTGTGAAGAAGACATGGACCTCAATGAAATTTTGAACAGTTTCAATAATTGTCACCCCTCAATTCAATTCACCTTAGAAGCAAAGGCAAACAATGAATTTCGTTTTTTTTGATGTCCGATTGGAAAGAATACCGGATGTTTTTTTACAGAGATCGATATATAGAAAATCTACCTGGAGTGGACAGTACACTAATTTCCATAATTGGGTCTCACTGAGTAGAAAGAAGAACTTAATTCACTCTGTTCCACTGACACAATAGATGAGGAACAATTTCAACTTCGACAAACTTTTATCAGAAACGGTTACCCACTTAGATTTGTCGATATTAACTTAACACCTAGAATTCATCATGAAAAAGTATGAACAGTACAGAAGACAACGCTGTTCATGAATATGGAATTTAAAGGAGACACGGCCACTGAAATCTTAAATAAACGGGTTTCAAAATCATTGAATAAAACTTTCTACTCAGCCAAGCTCCGAATTGTTTTCTCAAGCCGGCCTACCTTTCCTGGATGCGTCAAAGATAAACTTTCGCTTTGGGCCACATCAATGTGTATTTATAAATTTACGTGCTCATGTGGGGCTTGTTATATAGGCCGAACAAAGCGATCACTTTCCAAACGCATCACAGAACATCATCCGGCTTGACTTTTAAAAGAAAAATGTAAGATAATCACTAGTTTATATTTGGGCACTTAGATACAATAATGTGCTGTACATATTTATGATATAAACATTAACATTCTACCAAACTGAGTGCTTAACTATTAAAGAAAATGAAAAAAAAGCGAGAGATCAATCAACAAGAAGAACGCCAAGTCAAGAAAGAAGTATTTAATCAATTTTGGACATACCGCTCCCAAATATTCTTCTTTTAAAGTGATCTACAGAGTCAAATGAATTGGATTGAAGGGGTGTCGAATCAATATTCTATGTACTGCTGGGGCATTGGCAATTCACGAACTCAAGCCCGAACTTTGTGTGCAGAAACGATTTGTTCAACCTCATATCCTTCTTTGGCCCTAATTCCCTTGATGAGTATGTTTCTGTTTTTGTTTTTTCCGAACTTTTATTTGATTATTATCGAATTTTTAAAATTACTATTTAGCATTTAAAACTAATTATTTATTATTACCTTGTACAAGTTTTCTCGAGTATTATTCGGTCTATTATTATGACTTTTGTGTTTGCCGCTTTTCTTCATATTAGTCAACTGGACTATTATCTGACCCATAAACGATTTTCTTTCTTACCCCTTGATTAATACGTAACCTCATTTGTTATTTATCCTGGAATCCATTTTGGTGATGTAATTTTTTCTATCCTCCTATAGACATACATTTCCTATGTAACTCTATATATGAATGATTTCGTCGAAAAGAAAATTTTCTTCGCTGAATTCTATTTTTTGTTTCTTTATGGAATATATAAATAAATTCAGTTTCATTTAATGAATTTAGTCTTAACAAATCAATGTAAACATTGAATAGTCTCTGTCTATAATGCTAATTGACTTAATGAGTTTAATTAAATGATAGTTTTTTTTGATTAAATTAGGGTAAACTACTACTTGACATGTAATCTTTTAAGTAAATTTCTAACTGTCTTATCAAATAGATACTTATCTGATTTTCTGATATATATATATATATATATATATATATATATATATATATATATATATATATATATATATATATTCACAGAAATCTGATAAACGATCATGGGAATGATACGAGTTGAAACCTGCTTTGATATAGATAATGTTATGGATTAATATCTTCCATAGAGAATAATCAAAATTCACAATCAGACGACTTTTAGATATCTTACTCCTATTCCTTTTGTTTCTCTCCATCATTTTGTCATCATTTTTAAAGTGGTAGTTTTTTTCTTACAATGCTGTATTCGTCTGTATTTTACGTGCACAAGTACTTTTCTTAAAAACTTTAGTCGATAGTGTTTATAAAGATACTCTACATTTAATTTTAGTTTAAGTTAAAACGTCATTCAGAACATCTTTTAGAATTAAATTTCTTTAAGTTATTTAGATTTATATATGTTGCACCATTTGTATTGAAGAAAGGCTGAGGTAGAGCAAACCAATTTAATACTTAACATTTTACTATTGCTTAGTAAAATATGACAATTATATATTAGATACATCATTTGCACATCTTCAGGTTGTCCTTTACATACACCACCATTTTTATGATTCTGTTGTTATTGTGATTGAACTCAGATTCGCTTCATGTTCTCTTTATGGCAATTTCCCGCTGACAGGTGTTCCACTTCCGATTGGTGCTACACACCTTTTGATAGGGTTTTGTTCTCTGAGCTGGATGGTTTAGTCGTAGAGCTTTCATCATTCTTCTGAACGACATTATCAGCACAAACTTTATGTAAAAGTGAAGTGTTCGAAGTTCTCCACATATGGCTCACAGCTTATCCTGTAGACTTCGATGTTGATTGGTTCTTGTTGACCTTAAATCTGTCATTGTTTATTTCTTTGTATTGGTTGTATCCTTCATTGGTTTGATTTTTGGTCCTATGTTTCTCCATAATTTTTCTACATACGTACTACATATCACCACCACCACCACCACAATATCATGAGCACAAATCAATGAATGTTATTCTATGCATCGTTACATGTCCTATTTTTGAGTTGATGTGCGGATAAATAAAATTTAGCACTTATATTTGTAGCTTGATTCCAACAACATGATATAATGAATATTATTAGACTACTACTATTGGGAATTTCGGTCTGTTTAATTCTCGGAATATTTTAGATGATTATAGCGAAGTAAATTGAGTTAAATTTATTTGGTTTCTACGCTAAAACCAATGACTACATATATGTTTTCTTGAAAGTGATACACTAACAAATCAGCACATGTTTTCAGCTGATGCGAAATCGTTTTCTATTACTTATAACTGACTAATCCCTACAGAGAATTTAAAATACTTTTCAGCGATGATTACCGAAATCTTGCGTATTAGTAAACTAGCAAGCTTACCATTTGAGCTATTGTTACTTTGTAAAAGAGACATTATTAATATATTAAACTAGCCAATTTTAAGTTCATCGTGTGTATAAAGAGTTTAATTGACTAATTGGGTTTACATTTATTACAGGTCCTTTTGATATGTTATCTTCTAGATATCAACAAAATTATCAGTAGTCTAAATCAAATTTTATGTGTATTTACTAATTTGAGAGAGCAATAGAAAGGTGATTGAATCGTATTCCCTTTCATTTTTCACACAAAACTATTGAAATACTTTGGAAACAAACTGTTAGAGTCTATACTATCACCATGCAATCTTTAACCGTAAAACAGTATTCGTTTTCATATACATTTCAACATATGCCTAATTTGTTTGTACTGGTTGTTTGAATCTTCCCATTGATGTTTAGGACTATTATTGATAAGTCTCTTTTGGTATATGTGCATCTTGTAAAAATTGCCTCGATATTATCATTAAGTCACCATCTGTCCTTACAAAATCTTACTTTTATAAACATATCTACAAATTTCCGAATTATTGCTATTATTGTACATTTTTTATATTATATAGTAAACTGACAATAATTATTCTTTTGCATTTCAACAAATCAACATAATCTGAAAGATTTTACTTTGTGTTATTTAGGTAATTGGAATACTTCAAGTTCTTTTATCACAGTAATAATAAAGTTAATTGAAGCTAGACCATCATGAAAATCCTGGAAGCACTGAATGGCCGTTTCGTCCTATTATGGAACTCCTCAGCAATGCGTATCCACGATTCCACCTCGTTAGATTCGAACCCAGAACTTATCAAACTCGGGATAGTCTATGGGCACTGTTGAAGAGTCCGACAATAGGACGAAGTGGTCATTCATTGCTTCCAGGTTTTCCACAGTAGTCTAGCTTCAATTGATTCATGATTTCAACTATTGAAATTACTACAATATCCACAAAACTCCTTTTGATAATAATAAAGTCTTGTGAATATTCGAATAAATGAATTATTGGTTACAATTGTACTGTTATATACTGAGTTCAAAGTAAAATACTCACTCAAAACATGTATATATATCTATATACATTTTATTATTGTACCGAACTACATTGTAAACGTTTCATTTCACTTACGTTTTTACCGTATTGGTTATTTAAATATTTAAGTGTGAATTTTGTTTTTTTTTTCGTTTCACCGAGTCGGGTTTGTTTGTTTGTTTTCAATGAAAAGAAATTCAACCTGAAAAGTATAATAATTAGATTATGCAAAATATTTATCACCAATAACAGTCATAATAATCATGAATAAATAAATGTAAAAATATATAAAAAAGGTGACTTTTTCTTCTATATAAGAAAGAATCACATTTGGATATATAATATAAGTTATGCATTATAGAATAGTGTAATTACAAAATGATTGTAGCTATGAGGAAAAATAAACATTGTAAATATCTGATTGATCTTTTCAAAAAAGATACCGAAATCGAAGGTAAATTCAGTTTGTAAATGTATTTTTTTTTCAATGATATATATATATATATATATATATATATATATATATATATATGTACGGTTCATTATGAATTACTTAGCTTAAATGAATAATTATTGCATAATAGTCTAAAAGAAATAACAAAATGAATGATAACCAAATTACATAATGTATTCACATCAGATTTCGTAAAACTGTATAAGTTTATGTATTCACCTTTGAAGTATGTGGTTTATGTTAGTTTTAGTGATATCATCCAAAATTAGATGAGCACAAGTGTAATCAACTAACTTTATGTCGAATGCTTCAATTACTCTTTACTGATTTAAGTTAATCTATTTTTAGACAGCTAGAATAGATAATAACGGTAAGATAAGTAGTATTTATCTAATAAAATAAAATATTAACATTTAGATGATTGCAAAAATGAATATCATGATATCATTACTAAGAACAAGTTGAATTTAGCCGAGTATCTATATTTATGTGACATTTATCTTGAATATTTTGAAAATTAGTTAGTTTTATTACGTAAAGGTAGTTAGTGACTAAGAATCTGAAGTTTATTCTGAAACTACCTTATTCTTCATTAATGACTTTTAGCCTTACTGGTTGATTCATTAGTCAAATGTATCTAATGAAATTCCTTAAATATATATACTTTCAGTAGTTATCAAATTTCACTTATCATTTTTCATTCTTCATCAGTTTGGTCTTGGTTTGTTATTCAGAGAAAGATACTAAAGTCTGTGATTTCATTTTCAGTGAAATGAAAAAAAAAGGTGAAATTTCTCCAATATAACATAATTTTCAAGAGTCTGTAAATCATCTATGATCTGAAATCAAATTTAACTTTTGATCAAAAGGAGTTTTATGAATATTATAATAATTTTAATAGTTGAGATCATGAGTCAATTGAAGCTAGATCATCATGGAAAACCTGAAAGCACTTGACGACTGTAAATCTTCTAGTCTGTTCACCGATCAACAAAAGATATTATTCACTAATTTTCTTATTTGAAAGATAAATAACAATCAATGACAAGATGTGATCCATGGACATAAATATTCATTAAACTTAACTAAATTAACAGCAGTCACAGTCGGTAAAAATAGCCTTTTTTAAAACGATGTTTGTAGAATAAAGGTTTACAAAATGTAAGATACTACTTAATAATTTAATTCTTATGTAGTATTATCATCTTACGTAACTGTAGAAGTAAAATATTTAGCTGCTTATACCTTAAGATTCATTTTAAAATTCAATAATTGACAAGCAATAGTATTTATTGACTGTATTCGAAATAGTTAGATGCATGAGTCGATGTCAGCTAGACCATCATTGAAAATCTAGAAACACTAGACGGCTATTTCGTCCTAGTATAGGATTCCTCATCAATTCGAATCCACGATCGTTCACCGAAGGGGTTCAAACCCGGGACCTTAGGTCCCTTGTGTGAACGCCCAACCTTTAGACCACTGAGCTGATCGTCATCCAACAGTGTTATTGTCTATTTTCAACCAATCCACGAAATTGCCTGGTCGTCCATCATTGTCTTCACTGAGTAACTACCTCACAACGGACACAGTTGAACTCCACTAGTCACAACTTTTCACTAGGACTCCGAAAAATTTATCTTGAAGCTAGTAAATAGTGGGCATATGATGATTATTATTGAAATGAGAGTTTGTGAAGTCGATGCGCACTGCTGAAAACTCTCATACTAGGACAAAACGGTCTTTTAGTGTTCTCAGATGTTCAGTGGTGGTCTAGCTCAAATTTATTCACAAATTCAATTATTAAATTACTACAATTTCCACAAATTCCTATTTTGACTGTAATATAAGTTCATAAATTAGAGAATGTCTTTTAAACTATTCTAAATTCTTTGATAATTTCTGTTCAATCCCAATAAAGTTTTAATATGATGTACAATTGAAAATGATAAATAACCTTTAATACATAGTTTTCATTAGAAAAAAACACTATTGTTTTCATTCTTTTTATATACAGATGATGAAGAAGTACTTCGTAGTCTTACATATCGTCAAAGATTATTAAGAAAAATGTATCCATTAGGATTTCTATATGAATTAAAAAACTTACTACGTTTAGCAATACCTATTGTAAGTTAAATAAAAGGAAAAAATTAGTTTTCACTGTTTTTCTTTCTTTCAAATTAAATCTTAAAAGATCTGTCATTTTAACTCAACTGTTAGAGTTCTTTATTATTTCACTGAAGAAGCCGAAACAAAGTTTCTATAATCAATAATTATAGGTTAGGAACCTACAAATTATTTATATAATTATACCAGTATTACCAACATAGTATGAGATTGTAGAGATTGTTGAGTTTTCATTCAGATCATGGATCGATTAATGTTAGACCACCAGTGAAAACCTGGAAGCAGTGAATGAACGTTTCGTCATTGTAAAAGTGCGTATCCTTGATCCCTCAATCGGTATTTGAACCCAGGATCTTGCTCGAGATCGCTTAACCTCTAAGTCACTGAGCAGGCATCCAACGGTAATGGTGTTGACCGTAACCAAATAAAGAGATATCATGGTTTATTTTCTATCTTAGCATACTTAAAGTGAATGAGATGTTGGTATTGCATATAAAATATTAATAAAAGTGGATTGTTTGCTGAAATCTACTATTGATTTAATTGTCAAATGTGAAATGAAGAAAACATTTTCGGGTTAGAAAAATCCACAGGTTTATTATATTCACTTATGTCACACTTGTAAATCATACTAATACTTAAGCCGCAATATCAATACTAGAATACTCACAATTGATTGATCACTGGGTGATGATCAATGTCATGCTTGTCTAGTCCTTATTAGTGCAGATCGAATGCTATCAATCATGTTGCAATGTGGCCAGCAGTCTAGGTGACTAGACACTGCGGGCACTATGTATTGAGATTTTAGATGGTGGTTGGAGGTAGTCAACAGGACTACCTCCAACCACCATGTAAAATACTAGAATACTCAAAAAGTTTATTATATCTATTATATAATTAATATGATACCAAACATTTGATCCTTTTCAATGTCAATAATGGAATTGAATATACTTGATAAATGATCTAGTCAAGATGTTGATATCCATTAAAGTGATAATTAGCTAATGAATAGTACAAGATGTAGAGTTAATTCCGATTTGTGTCAATATATATATATTGGGATCAAAATCTATTGATTGTTTTTTCAACTAAATTGATTTTTCTAGGATCCATTATTAATTTATATCTAATGAATATATATATATATATTTTAAATTTTATATTTTAGACTATTTCATCAATTTTAACATATACAATTTCACCTGTCAGTATGGCATTCTGTGGTCATTTAGGCAAAATTCAATTAGCTACAATCGGTTTAGCAATGTCAGTGTTTAGTGTTTGTGGTATGTTTGTTATTCTAGGATTACTCTCTGCATGTGATACATTATTTTCACAAGTAAGAATACACTTTGTTTTTCTTTTTCTCCAATATTTTTAGAATAATTAATTAGTTTCACTTGGTATTGTTTAGCTTGTATCTTCTCATTGAGGTTTAAGACTGCAATTGATCAGTCTGTTAGTTTTATAATAATCCATTTATTTGTTACTTTAGTAATCTATGCATACATACATTCTAAACGTTAACATAATGAAAATGTTCTTGGGACAATTTTGATGAAGTTTCATTCTTTGACCTAGATAGTTTAGTCTACAAAACTCTATTGAAATCATCTACATGAGTTACAAATCTATTCCATTATCACCTATGACAATAATTACGATAATTTTCAGTTTAATGTTTAACTATTACTCAATGAAGTTTTCATATGTTTTTATTATTAAGATGACGACTAGTGTGAAACAAAGTCAATAACAGTTTATTTTATAAATACCAAAGGAGAACTTACTATTTTGTTCCATTCATAAAGAGAAGTATATTTAATTTTTATGGTATAAAATTACAGTTCATTTAATCAATTATAATTCATTTTGTCTGATGAAATGCCTATGCTCCCTCATGAAGAGTGGTAACAGGCATGAGTAATTTATTCATCTTGTACAAAGAAAACAATCAAATAATTGAATCTTTTAGTATACTCAAATATAACAAGAAAAAACTTTTAAATTTTATCCAATATTCACACTAATAAGTTTATTCATTCATACAAAAAATGACAGCTTTGATTGACTTATAAATTCAACTACTGAAATGATTAAAATCTCCACAAAATTTCTTCTGATAATAATCATCTACTCACTAGTGACTGATTTCAAGATGCATTTTCTGGAGTTCTAATGAAAAGCCGTGACCAGTGGAGTTCAACTAAGTCTGTTGTGAGATATCAGCTCACTGAAAACAATAGTGGACAGTTGCGCAAATTTTTGGATTGGTTAAATGCTCACGCGCGAGACTGATAGGTCCTGGGTTCGAATCTCTTGGTGTGGAATCGTGGAAGCGCACTGTTGGGGAGTCATATAATAAGAAGAAACGACCACTCAGTGCTTCCAGGTTTTCCATGGTGTTCCAGCTTCGATTGACTCATGATCTCAATTATTTTAATATTGAAACCATAGAAAAAGCTTTGGTGAGATTATTATTTATGGACGACCTCTGAGCGACGCTAGACTGACATTGAGAGTAGTCCACCTAATAACTAGGACCAAATGAGGGTTATAAACATGGGTGAAGAATTCGAATTATGATTTTCAGTTGACGATTAAGGTTAAGAATTAGATTTAAGGTTTACATCACGAACTGACATCAGCTACAATACCAAGATTCCATTTATCCAAATGAATAAGTGAATTTCGCGGAAAAATCCCAGAACTGTTATCTTATAGCTGATTTGTTCGTCTATAAATTCTAGTCTCACCAAAGTTTTCATACCTAAAAAAAATTGATCATCCGTTTTATCTCATCAAAAAAAAGATAATAAAGATTAAAAGATTGAAAAATTAGTTAAATAATCGAACGATTATAGTTTTTGTTTTATGATACACGCTTCATTAGTTCATAAATCTAATTAAAATATAAAAGTAAAAATAGGATATTAAATAATGTAAGTTAATTTCTTTCTAGTTGACTTTCTTTTTGTGCAACAAAGTATATGTATATCAATTCAAGATGTATCTGTTAAGGACGATAGATCCCCAAACTCATATTTTTAAAATTTTATCGCATCGATCAATTTATTGATTAAGTGTTTAAATGTTTGTATTGGGGTCAATTGATGAACTGATCGATTAAATGTTTGAATAGCAGTCAGTTGATGAACCTATCAATTAGATGTGCAAATAGGTCAATTTATGAACTCATTGATTAGTGTTTAAAATTTTCTTATGACAATATCGATTGTGTGTTTGGCTTGACTTGTTATCTGCTGTGTGTCTGCAGAATACACTTCTACATCTTACTCAGACTTCTTGATCGAGTTAGCAGAGTTGGGGACAACGAACCAGACAGAATAGCTGTTGAGTCGCTGAGTCACTGGTCCTTCGTTCCGTTGAGTAAGACGCACCAGTAATAGCATTCAAGCGAATAACAAATCATAACAGTATCTGAAGTGGAGAAATGGCTCAGTGTTTTAGGAATTGTATTATTTAGCTAATAAAATATAAATCAAAATTCAATGCCATCTATTCCACTTTTTGGACGTCTGGGTAGTATTGCTGGACCTCACATTAAGAGTGTGTCTAAAAGCCAAGTACACAGATTTGTACTTGGTTAATGTACTGATAATAATAATAATAATAATAATAATAATAATAATAATAATAATAATAATAATAATAATAATAATAATAATAATAATAATAATAATAATGCATTTCTGTAAAGAGAAGATACGTTAATATTAATTCAATATTTACAGTTTGTTTTATTCATTTTTATTGCATTCTAGACATATGGGAGTATAATGAAAGATAAAATGATTGTTCAACTATATAGAGGTAAATTCATTTCATTTATAACATTATTTAACTATTAACACAGTATGAAGTTAGTTTTAGTTCTTGATTAACATTAATTGGACAATTAACCATTGAAGATTTACATAGTTGTTTAATTATAGCTAGAAAACTTCTTAACTCATTCAGTAGCCTATCAACAAGATGGAACAAATTGAATGAATTGATTTTATCGACATTCTTTTTTCTTTTTGAGTTAACAATTAAATCAATAATCTTGATGTATAACACATAACTAACTGAATGAATGACTATTTTTAATGCCAATAAAAATGTGAAGAGATCCAATTGTAAAAGCTATATTCAACAAAGTGGAAAACCATCATCAGACTGATATATATTAATAGATTAATTGCCGTTTGAAGTAGTATTACTTGAGCCTATAAATTTCTAAGAACTGTCAATAAGACATTAGTTTCTAAGTTCACTTTTATTTACTTTATTTATTTTAACACATAAATATTGGTACAAGGAGGCACCGAATACAAACGCGCCACACAAATCTCACTTGATATGTGTGAGGGCTGTGATACTGCCTGGGTGCCCAAACCGAAGCAGGTGGTTTTCTTAGAGGGCCACTCCCCGAGCCTTCGACCTGAAGGTCTGATCCACAAGGCAATGGAGCATCGTGAGGAGATGCAGTCTCATGGAAGCCGGTGACCAACGATTGGTTCATACGCCATTTGTTCCTTCAGGATTCTGGAGCTCATGTGCACCATTCGTTTGGAGTCAGGGTTTTCCAACTTCCCTATGTAGACTCTCCGTGTCCACCAACCCGGTTGAAGCGACGGACATTCGCTTTTCGTCCTCTCAATTTCGTAAACAACACCCCCGCCACGAGAAGGCAGTGAGTAGGACTTCCCTGGCAGAGACTATATACGCAGGGCATTTTGAGAGGGGGAGCGGAATCTCCTCACTCTCAGCCGTACCAGGGCATTTGGGGGCAAGTTCCGACTACTTTCTTATCATTTCATTTGGATAAATGAATTGTTGTCTTCAGGATATACTTTATTCTGAACAGAATGAAAATAATTAATGTTAATTAGGAGTACTTTGTATATTGTAGTTATGTATTATTGAATAAGTAAATGGATATTATTCCACATAGGATAAACATTTAGTAAGATGGATCAAATCTCAGTCAAGATGACCAAAAACTGAGTAACTCAAATCTTTTCCGGTAATCATAGAATTAAAGCTTAATGCCTAAAACTGATCATTTCATTTTCGGTTTTAGCTTGAAAATATGGTAGACAACCTATTTTGTGTACAATTAAGTAAAAAAAAAACTAGATAAGAACAAACAATCTTAATATTTCCAGTATTAAATAACGGCCGTCCAGTGATTCCAGGCTTTCATTGATGATCTAGTTTACATCGACTCATGAATTCAACTACTAAAAAATGTAATCGTTATATCCATGAGTCAATTGAAGCTAGACCACCATGGAAAACTTAAAAGCACTGGACGGTCGTTTCGTCCTAGTATGGGACTCCTCAGTAGTGTGCATCCACGATCTCGCCCAGCGGGATTCGAACTCAGGACTTATTGATCTAGTTTTAACTGAATCATGAATTCAACTATTAAATTACTATAATATTGACGAAACTTCTCTCGGATTATTAAAAACTACTACAATCTCCACAAACCCCTATTCTGATGATAATATTTCCTTTATGTAAAAGTTTTAAAAATGGGAACTGGTTAAACAATTAATTTTCATTTCATTTCTTTTTCTCTTGAAGCTGTTATCTTAATTTTACTATGTTGTATTCCATCATGTGCTTTGTACTTGAACGCGGAACCATTACTATTATTACTTGGACAAAATCCTTTAATTGCAAAGTAAGTCACGCGTTTAACGTCTTAAATAATAGTTCATAGAAAAGATACTAATATACTTATTATTTGTTAAATGTTCAATCAGTCGAGGGATGGTACTAATTATTAGGAAATTATAATTGAATGAAGCTTGATAATTGATTTGTTCACCGCAGAATTATTTATTTGTATCGTAGTACCATTACAAGATAAAATCATTCACTATGGAGTAGTGAATTCAGTCAAATTTAGTTCACGTGAGAACAACAATATTTTCTCCACGAGTGTCTTTGCCGGCATGTTCTACCAAGAAGTGTAAGATAGAGACCTCCAATCAATTACTCGTTGGGATGGAGAATAGCTGAGCAAAATGGAAGAAAAATAGTACACCTAGTGATAACAGATGTACGTTACTGGACCCTCAAATACCAACACGTCATAGAGGATCTAAAGATGAAGCTACAAAGGACACTCATGTCAGAACATTTGGAAATCTTGACAACAGCCATCGAGATATCATGCAAACGACACAGAGAACAAAAAAACACCCTAAAGAATAAACTAATCAAGATCTCAAAACCATCCATGGGAGAAAACACAAACAACTGCGTGGTCAACCTGTCAAGTTGTTCAAAAATGGGCGAGTGTAAATATTAAGAGAACACTGATATATTCAAAGAAACTAGATGATCTCTATTCTTTTTTTGGGGGGGGAGAGATGTATCGAACAGCTTGATTCTTAGTATTTACCTCTTCAAAATGTTACAATGTCTATCTGTTATGAATACTAATTATACAAATAAGTGAGAAGCATAACTTTATATATTACCATAACAATTTATGTATCAATAAAATATTATGGGTCTCCAAATATCTATTTTAGTTTTCGTTTAGAAACATAATAATCAGTTTAGGGGTTGTGGAGATTGTTAAATTTTTGATTGAAATCATGAGTCTATTGAAGCTAGACCACCATGGAAAATCTGCAAGCACTGGACGGCCGTTTCGTCCTAGTATGGGACTCCTCAGCAGTACGCATCCATCCTGTACCCCGCGAAATTCGAACCCAGAACCTATCAGTCTGGCGCCAGGCGCTTAACCAACTAGACCACTGGGCCGGCATTCAATGGTGTTAATGTCTAACCTCAACCAATCTACGAAATTTCGCGACCATCTTCCATTGTACTGAAGTAGATACCTGTTTCTACTCGACACGGATTATCTCCACGGGTCACAGCTCCAGAAACATAATCCTTATTTTAGTACATATTGATTAAAAATTTATTTTTTAAAATATTTTTTTTATTACATAGGGGAACTGGCGAATTATTGCTTTATCTTATACCGGGATTACTTGTAAGTTGTAAAAATGTATAATTATCCAGATCACTTTTGTTATAGTTTAGTTCACTTGGACAATTGTTTATCAGGTTTGTTCAAACACAAGTATGTTCACAGTTGTTGTTGTTGTTTTTTATACTTAATATATATATTTATTGACAAGATTTATTCGAATATTATTCGGAATCATATTCAACTTTTACTTGATCTAATTACATTTATTCATTTGGTTATGTTTCCTTGAATCCTCTCAATGATGATTGGGACTGCAATTGATCAGTTTCTTATTGGCATATGGGCATCCTGTGCGTATCGCCTTGGTATTGTTCTTATTCACAATCATTATGAACAAAGATGGATAGTAGATAGCAGTGAAATCCAGGACACGTGTTTCGTCCTATTTATAATGCTTGCAAATTAAAGCAATATTGAGGCAATTCATACTGGATACCCGTATGTCAATAAGAGACTGATCAATTGCAGTCTTAAACATCAATGGGAAAATTCAAGCAGACAATACGAAGTGAATTTAAACTTCACCCCGTTGGACAAGCAAGTGGCTAAGTGGATAATGCGATGGCATTTGAAGCGAATGGTAGTGGGTTCGAGTCCTAGGGTGATCATCAATTGCGTAATGAAGGTACATCCATCTGAAGAGTTCAAAATAGAACGAAACGCGAGTTCTAGGTACCATTGCGAGCCACTATTCATCTTTGCTTATAATTACCTTTATGTATCACCATAATAAATGATCCCAAATGATTTCACGATGAAATTTATTGATTTAGATTGATGATTATCTGAAATTTTCGAATAAAAAGCTGGAATAAGTTACAGTAAACAATGTTTTACAAATTTGTTTGTTGTTATCAATTATTTTTTAAATGGCATTATTTATTTATTTGATATATGTGTTTAACAGTTGAATTCATTAGTAGGTCTAAACTTGATCGCAATTGAAAATCTGATCTAACTTAGATCAACTCATGAATTCAACTATTAAAAATTGGTACAACCTCCACAAATCCTTATACTGATAATATTCATTTAAGTCACAAAGTATAATAAGAGTGATAAATTAAGCTCTAGGTTAACTGAGATTAAGTTTTGATAGTATCCTTTATAAGGTGTTTGTTTGAAGAATGGAAACAGTAAATAAAATGAAATAAGCTATATCTAGAAAACTGAATTTTATAATGGATCACCTTTATTTGTTCTATTTCTTCAATTTTACACATTTATGTAACAGTTTGTAGTTCAGTATTCATATGATTTTACTAGAGTTTAACTTATTATAAAGTTTTCCCTTAGGCCATTATTTCTATTCCGCTTATCTATTTATCATTGTTATATACGAATATAAATTCATTGAGTGATCTGCGTAACATTATTCTTAAAGACTAAACTTAAGTCTCTTCAGCATTCGAAATCATAGGACTGTCGTTCCTTGTCGTTCAGAATTATTCTTTTCTAGGTGAAAACTGAGTAGTAGTCAGTTTAGTGCTGACTAATTTCAAATGGTGATCTATACTGTTCGATCAAGTTTTAATCAAACCATTGGCGTGAGTGGTTCAGTGTTGTAATTAACTTTATTCTGGTGTTGGGCAGTTGTAAGATATCCAGAGGATGCTTTTGACTAGAGATTTATGTTAGTTAGCACAGGTCATTTGTTATCCTGTAGTTGGTTTTCTGGCTATTCAGTATCATAACACTACCGCTAAGCTATCCAGGCGAATAAATGAAATTTAGATCTTGAACTTCCTTCTGTTTAACCCTAATTGTATACACACTGGCTGTTTACAAAGGCTTCTAAACTGACACCTTACATGGGATTGGTAGATATTTAACGTCGACGTATACAACCTGAATTACAAATATGTAAGTTTTCTTTATAAGTATGAAATACAGGTATTATAACGGGAATGATTGATTTGCTATTATATTAGTGAGAAAATTCTGTTACAAAAAAAGAATTTCAGACGGGGTCGTGGATGCGCACTGCTGAGGAGTCTCACAATAGAACGAGATGGCCGTCCAGTGCTTCCAGGTTTTCCATGGTGGTCTAGCTTTAATTGACTTATGATCTCAACTATTGAAATTACTACAATCTTCACAAAACCTCATCTGATACTAATAGGTTTATGTTGTCAATCAATAATAATCAATATAATCAATTAAACCACAATGGGTTAGGTTACGTGATAGAAAATTATAAATCAGCAATTATTCATACCACAAGGATTTCCATCGACTAAGCAACCTGACGGAAATGAAAAAAAAAGTGATAGAAGGGATATGAAAATCTTTTTATAAAATATATTCTATGGAGATATTGCCTAATTATTATAGATTGTTCACACATTGTAATAATTTCAAACTTTGCTACAACACATGATATTTGGAATATATTTTGTTTATGTAAATTAGTCTATCAGAATGCCTGTAGGCAAAATTAATCATAAACATGAAATATGAGAAAAATCTTTTCAATTTAATCTTATCCCTTTTTTTATTCTAAAACTTTCGTGAAGTTTGTTGATAGAAGTACACGTGAAAAAAAATATGGGCTTATTATTTTAATCCCATAGAAATTAGAAAATAATTCTACATGTGGGATGTGCTTTAGTGTTTACTTACTATGTTAATAATCTCAGTTAAGAGTAACAATATCAAATGGTTAGTAAATTTGACGTTGAAGGTGATTAGTCATACTGTAGTGAACGAGAACATAAATGGGGACAACTAAGTGTTGTTCAATACAAAATTACAGAATATCTTTGTAAAATTTGAGGATCATACAGTAAATAATTCAGCTGTAAAATGTCAATCAATTGTCACAGACTTCATTGATTTTTCGTTTTCATACCAAGCATTCTCTATTCTCGTTCTTTTTTATTCAATCTTAACCTTCTGCCTCCAGACATTTCACTTTCGACTGATGATACATACTATTCATATCTGTTGACATCAGTAGTAAAACACCACAGTACCACTTATATATATATATATATATATATATATATATATATATATATATATATATATATATATGTCGGTCTATTGTGTATTAGTATAATTAACATATATAAGTTCCTTCTATTCACCTTATTCTAACAAATTTTCTGGTAACATAAAGATTTTTTGACGCTATTCTAATCCTGCTTTTTGTTTTTTTTCTCTTTCCAACAGAATCATGTATATGCTCCATTAGTTATTATGATTTTTGTGAATGGTATCAATGCATTAATGCATTATATACTGATTTATATAATGAATATGGATGTAAGGTAAACTAATTAGCTATGTACGTAAAAACATTAATGTGTAATAATTTCCTGTATTTTTTCCAAACAAAAAAGAAATGTACCATTAAGTAGTCTCCTGTTTAATTAAATTATAAGTAAGTAAAGTCTGTTAGAATAATACGAATATGCTCAAGTGATAAATTAAAAAGGTGGGTTATTCGATTATTCAGTGCACCGTTGAAGAGTCTCATACTAGGACGAAACAGCAATCCAGTGCTTCCAGATTTTCCATAGTGGTCTAGCTTTAATCGACTCATGATTTCGACTATTGAAATTACCAAAATAAATCGTTAATCAATTAACCTTTGAACTCATCATTAACAGATGATAACTTCAATTTACTTTACTTGTTTCCTGGTGTGTGACGAAATCTCAGCACGGATACAGAAGGCTCGACTAGCATTTGCCATTTTGCGTCATTTATGACGTAGGCGAGAGATCCTCCTGTCAACCAAAGGACGAGTTTACTGAGCAGCAGTTCTTTCCGTCCTACGTTATGGAAGTGAAACATGGCCAGTAAGAGTGGAGGGTATTCGTAGGTTACTACTATTCTATTACAGGTGTTTTCGAAACATTACTCGTGTATCTTGGGACCACCGAGTAACTAGTGCATTTGTTAGGAAACGGGTACTAGGTAAGGATGGCAAACCAATTGATGAAGTAGTGAAACTTCATTAGTTGAGATGGCTGGGACACGTGTTACGTATGCCCAACTACTGACTGCCCCGACGTGCGGTGTTTTATGGTGTAGGAGTAGGTTGGAAGAACCTAGGGGCAGCCATAACAAAACATGGCATAAGTCCATGAAGTCGCTGACAAGTGGACTGAGCCATGTTGGTAGGTGTAGACTACCTGGTTGGGATTCGCGAGACGATAGCAACCGATGGTTAGAGACCTTGAATGATATGGTTCAAGATCGTTTGTAATGGCTCAGGTACATCCACTCTTTGTGTTCTCCCAAATTCTAATCTTCTGAATTCTTCATGTCCCTTATTTTCATTCTAAATTTATTTCACTGTATTATACTCCTTGGCTAACATCTTCAAACCCTAATGTTTCCGATTACTGCTTATACTCTTACTACATCTACCACTACGGGATTTGAATCGAAAACTGCATCTCTGTGCTAATGTGGTAAGACAACTCGGACTGATGTATGTACGTACGAAGTTCTACGTTCTTACTGACTGACTGACTGACTGAATTTACTTTTGAATTTATTAAAGAAAAATATGACTGATATTGATGAATATTGTTTAATTTATCTAATTGGATTTGTTTCTTTATTCTCTTTTTTTGTTACAAATTTTAGAGCTTCACCAATATCTCAAGCAACAGCATATTTTTTTCAAGTAATATGCTTTATTGTTTACATCATATTCATAGGTCATTCAAAAGATACCAACTTTAGTAAGTCATTACTATTAGAATCTTTATTCAACATTATATTTTTGGTACAACATAGAATTCTCAGCATAAAATATTTCAACAAGTTTCCTTTTCTTATACCTTGATCGATTGTGACGATAGATTTTGAATGATGACCAGTTACATGTTAGGAGTTCGGTAATCCACATTTGATTAATGTTCATTCGTTTCCATGCATATTGCCAGCCACCATGATGTCGTTGATTGTACCTTTTTGTATCCCGTATTGCGAAAGGTTGTAAACATTTCATAAACGCGCCTGAATAGACTGTGCGCACAACAGATATAATGATGTGCTAAAACAAACAACAAAACAGATAACTTGATGAAATATATAGATCGTATGAACAGGTAGCCTAGATATTCAAGAAAGCCGCCAGAGAAAGAAATTAAGTGATATTCAAATGTCGAATTACTTATTATTACTGTTATCAATCAGGTCAATTATTGTTAATATTATACATAATTTATACATAAGTGTTTTTTACTACTGAATTATTGCAGTATAATAAGTAACATATTCAGTATCCAAATAAAAAAATAATAATATGATTTACATTTTATTCTATTTTCAATCTGCTCATCAAGTACAAATAGCTTTAAGTAACTAACATAGTTTAAACCTTTGTTGTTTAATAATGTTTAAAATAGGACAAAAGTTGGGAAAGAGATGAGGTTATAATCATTAATGATTATAACTGCGTCAAAATGAAAATTAAAAAAAAAAACACAAATTGAATACATCCTGGTAATGGTATTCATCACAGATTGATCATAGTTTTGGTCCTATTATAAACTAAAGAAGTTAATTGGGTCGCTATTTTATTGTAGTTTGATATTGCTCACTGGTGACCACCCGCGAATTCACAGGTGATCGATTCTAGAACTTATGTCTTGTGTGAGCATTTAATTGCTAGAACTACTGAGTTAAGTTCTACTATCAGAAATATCTAACTTTAACTAATCCAGAGTAATATCATATCAGCCACTAAAGACTTATTCTATGATAAGTTCCCAAATTTATAAAGGAGTTCAGTGATTTTAACACTGAAACAGTCATCAACTGTGACATTCATAGAAATTTCTCAGTAGAGTTTCATTTTAGCATTCTACTTTAAACAGTACTGCACATAATATTAACTACCAACCACGATATTTTTAACTGTCATGTACACTATTAACTCATCATATTTTTCTCCAATCACTGTGTTTAAGTTTTTTGATCTCACATTCACTGGTAAATGGTTTGTAATATGAATATCTATGTACAAATATCTAATTACCATTGAATCTTAATTAGACTTTTATGTTATGATAGCACTTAAGACAGCATATCTTATTAACCAAAATGATTAGTGGCTAGCAGTGGAATCCAGAACGCGTGTCTCGTCCTATTTGGGACTGGATTTATCTGCATCCTAGGGTTGATGTTCACTCATGGACTCCAATTCAGTACCATTCGCTTCAAACACCATCATGTTTGAGTCTTGATAACCACTAACTTGTGCAATGAGATGATTCAAACAAACGATGCAAAGTGAATTTACATAAATTATTGTTGTAACGTGTAGTATCCGAAATCTGATACTGATACACGGTGTGTTACGCTCACTGACTACATGAGAGAGAATACAAGAGTGAGAGGGCAAGTGTATCGGACTACAAAATGAAACAAATACTCATTCATATACATACCACTCCATCCTCAGGAAATTGACACATTGATCCCAATGAAATACAGTTAACCTTTAGGTCACTTCTGATAGCCATCGATTGACCTTTTGCTACTACTGATTGACTCTCCATATCACTTATAATTGATACAAATTTATTCTATTTCTATTTGAGACCTGTTAAGTTGACTAATTAACTTATTTATTCTTAGTTAGAAAAGTGTTTAATAATTAAAAAAAAGAACAACATAACACCTTCCACAGTCAATTAAACTTTTCCATCGTACACTTACAATTAAAATATTCATTTATTTTACAACATAGATTTAATTTTCTTCCATTCATATTTAATTGTACTACTTTTAATTTTATCAACGTAAGTTAAATAGTAATTTTTTTTCATTTCAATAAAATAAGTAGTATGATAAGAAAATTAATGACCAGACGATGAAATATAATGAACTCATAACTGAATTGAAGCTAGACCATTATGGAAAATCTGGAAGTACTGGACGGCCATTTCATTCTATTGTTAAACTCCTCAGAAGTGCACATCCACGATATCGCTTGCGGGGCTTGAACGGAAGACCTAACGGTCTCACGCGTGAACGCTTAACCTTTAAACCACTGAGCCGATATCCTACGGTGTTAATGTCTAACTTCATTAAATCCATGAAATTGAACGACACATACACCATTGTCTTCAGTGAGTTACTATATCACAATAGACCTGGTTGAACTACATTGGACACTGCCTCTCACTAGAACTCCAGAAAATACCAGTCACTACTGATAGTTTTTGGGTTTGTATCCAAAATACGGGATCGTGAATGCGTACTGCTGAGGAGTTTCACAATAGTATGGAATGGTCGTCCAGTGTTTCCAGGTTTTCCCTGGTGGTCTAGTTTCAACTGACTCATGATGTCAACTATTAACAATTGATATAATATCCACAAAGCTCCTTCTGATATTTGAAACTATTGGATCATTTATTTAAATCCAAGCTAATTGATTTTTAAAGGATGAATAAAAAAGATTAACAAGAAAACTGATCATTAATGAAATATTGGATAAGAATAAAATTTATAGACAAATTAATAAAATTAAGGATAGAAACTCTTGGATTTTAAAGTAAATCTCATTTATCTATTTAGTTAAGTAGCATTTTGACATTATAGATGATATTAGTTTATGATGAAAATTTTTACTTTAATTGTTAACCTTAAATTCCAATTCGAAATCCTTATCCTAATTTTCCAATAATAATAATTTATAACCCTCTTTTGATCCTAGTAAATAGGAGAAGTGTTTGAAGGTCTTTTCAACATTGTTCAAAGGTCGTCTAGGAATTATAATCTTAAACAGTTGAGATCATGAGTCAATTGAAGCTATACCACCTGGAAGCACTGGACAACCGTTCCGTCCTAGTATGGGACTCCCCAGCAGTGCACATGCACAACCCCGCCTCGCGGGATTTGAATCCAGGACCCATCAGTCCCACGCCAGGTGCTTAACCAAGTAGACCACTGAGCCGGCATCCAATGATGTTAATGGCTAACTTCAACTAATCCGCGAAATTGAGCGACACATCCACGATTGTCACCAGTGAGTTACTACCTCACAACTGACCCGGTTGAACTCCACTAGATTGATTAAAAATGTGAAAATGATTTATAGACGTTAATAGTTGTTATGTCAATACAAACAGAAAACTATGCCTATCTATTTGTTTCTTCTTTGTCTTCCTCTTCTTCCTCATTATTATTTAGTAGTTATCTATAGTTTACAATAAAATAAGTTTTATATGTATATATGTACACATCTATCTATAGATGATTATAGTTGTCAGTCATTTGTACTTCGTGGAATCTGAAGAGAAAAAATGCACCCAATTCTTTTTATTTTCCAATTTTTCATTTTGCTACGATCTATCTTTTGTAAAAAAGAAAAAGAAATAAAAAAACAACTAGAAAGTCTAAAATTTATGGAACAATCATACTAAAATTGTAGGTATAACTTACTTTTAAATAGAATAATAATTTCAAGTGAATGTACTATCTTTAAACACATTTTTCATTATCTAATGATATTCATCAAAAGAATTGTTGAAAATCAAGAACTAATGAATAATTGTTTTGTCTAAGTTTTTTTTGTCTTCTTAATAGTTTACATTCAAAACGTTTATATTTAGTACCTTGATCGATAATGATCGATTGATTGATTTGGAAACTAGTGATCAATATTTTTGTTTTTGCAATTGATTCTTATTATCGATAAATAGTGTGTTGCACTATATTTATTCATGAAATTATTAATCGTATAAGTTACGACTATTACTACTTATTACAAAACTCTTATAATGTGAAAAGTTAAGGAACATAACACTTGTGTATATAATAATTGGTTACAGAATAGTGAGTGAAACCAATACTTTTGTGGTAAAGTCTTTAAGCTAGCAGAATTGATGTATGATTATATTTATATACTTTACTGTTTACTTTTTTGTATGTGTTTATTTAATCATTCATCTGTTAAACAACTGAGTCTGCTTAACTATTATGCGATATCTACAAACTTCATTGATAATGTTATATTAGTGGTACAATTTGTCACTATTGCTATAAATTTTGTTTCATTTTGTGACCTTAAAACTATCCAGTAGTGCACTTGCCTACCAAAGATATTCCCTACTTATCTTAAGCCAAAACTAAAATCTTAAAGTAATCCTGATTTTTTTGAAATAAAGTTGGTACTTTTACATCTTGTTGAACAGATATTTAGCTGAATTAATCAGTGCAACATTGTACTAATCATGAATGGAAATATGTTAAGTTTATGAAAACGTTTTCATCCTAAATGTTTACCACATATGATTTTTAGATTTAATTCTTAGGACATTAAATAAATAGATCACGCAAAATTATCTTAGTTACAAATTGAATTTCAATAATCGGATTCATGAGTCGATGTAAACTGAACCATCATTGAAAACCTGGAATCACTGGACGTCTGTTTTATCTTAGTATGGGACTCTTTAGCAGTGCACAGCCACGATCCCGCGTGTGAGATTCGAATCCATAGTCTTTGGTTTTGCGTGCAAACGCTTAAGAGTTATCCACCTCAGACAATGGATGAAGTGTTGTGTAAGATCATGAACCGACTGAAGCTAGATATTAACAACATTGGATGCCGGTCAGCTCAGTCGTCTAGAGGTTAAGTATTCGTACGAGAGACCTAAAGTCCTGGGTTCTAGTCTCTTTGGGACAGGTTTGTGAATGCACATTTCTGAGGAGTTCCATACCAGGACGAAACGACCATTCAGTACTACCAGGTTTTCAATGGTGGTTAAGCTTAGATCGATTCATGAATTCATTTATTAAAATAACTATTATATTTAAAAACCTCTATTCTGATCACAAAATGAATTATCGAATATATATTGAATCTACACGTTTGTATTGATTATATGTAAATCAAATGCCTATGTAAGCCTTCTTCACACTATAACGACTGGAGTACCCAGTCAAATGAGCAATCCAGCTGATACATATATATCATTAAGCAGTATAATTTAGTTAAATGTTCTACATTATTTTAATCCTAATATTTTGATAGATGTTATGTTGGATAGTGTCTAACTATTTATGAAAAATGCTAATTTACTTATGTTCATATTTTAAACTTTAGAGCTCATAACTGTTTACTTGTAATTAGTAGTAGATAAAAATAGCTCTGTTATCATTCTGTGTGAAAAGTAATTGATAGGCTTCAATTCGCTTTGGTGACATCTTACACTTTGTCGTTCATCAAAATTATTTAATAAAATACTTTTGTTTTTCATACTTTTTTTTCTTCAGAATTTACAAAAGAAATTTGGGAAGATTGGAATACATGGTTTCGTTTAGCTATACCTGGTTTAATTATGGTTAGCCTTGAATGGACAATTTATGAAATTGGTGGTTTTATCGCTGGTAAGATAATTGAAAAGCCTACTTTAATGATATATCTTTATATAATATAAGGATATAATATAGATTTATGTAAATGTAATGTTGAGAAGGTAAAGTTGCTTTAAAAACAATGCATGAATCTAAAACGAAAGTAATAGAATGTTAATGAAAAATGTCTGTATTCAAGTCCCTTTGGTGTGGGCTCATAGATGCGTAGATGTACTTCCAGGCTCCCAAATGCTCTGGTACGGCCGAGAGTGAGGAGAGTCCGCTCTCCTTCTCGAAGTGATCTCATATGGCCACGTGCATACAACCACTGCCATGGAACTCTTACTCACTGCCTTCCTGCAGCATTACTGTTGTTTACGAAATCGAGAGGATGAAAAGAGAATGTTCGGCGTTTTAACTGGGTTGATGGATACGGACGGTTTACCTAGGAGAGTTGGAAAATCCTGATTCCAAACCACTGGTGTACATGGGCTCCAGGACTCCAAGGAAACAAATGGCTTATGAATCGATTGTTGGTCACCGACTACCATGGGACTGCATCTCCTTACGTTGTTCCACTGCCTTGTGGATTAGACCTTTAGGTTGAAGGCTTCGGATGTGACCTCCTAAGAAAACCACCTGCTTCGGTTTAAACACCTAAGCAGTATCCCAGCTTTCATACATATCGAATGATTTAAATAGCACATATCTATTTGGTGCCTTCTTGTACCAATATCCATGTGTTTAAATAAATAAATAGTATTCAATTAGTTATTTATACAGATTGATTGTAAATTTAAACAAGTTATTTTGTTTTCATCGAGATGATGAAATATATCTTTTACTAGCGAAACCATTAAAACTGTTATTCCATAGTAAATGAAATGCTACGTTGATGAATTGATTGTGTTTTTTATTAGATCAGTATATAAATAATAAAAAAATAGTACTATCTGGTTTCGATGTACGGAAAAATTCGAATATTGAGAGAGTTAATTATATAATTGGCATTTTGTGGTTTGTAATTAACTTTATTAGTGATTATTGTTATGATTAATTATTAGCTATCATTTTACTAATTCAATTTCTTGTATTAAAGGTCAATGATACTAAGAGTTCAGTAGCTGGATGATATATAGGAATATAGAGTATAAAATACATACTAAGCCTAGCAAATCCACGAAGTGAATTTGGTATATATATCTATTTATATAATGTAGTGCAGTAAATTCAGAGATATTTAAGCTAACATTCCTCAGTAATATATTCGCGATGTTTTAAAATTTGCATTTTTTCAAACTAATCATATAGTTTTAGTATATACAGTAGATGGGTACATTCAGCTGGCAAATTTAAAAAAGGTATAAAGTTTACTTCCTGGTTTCTACCTCCAATTATATATCAATTACACTAAAAATGTTTGATAAAATGCTATAAAGGAGAAATCCACTTAGAATTCACAAATAACAATAGGAACTGATCAGTTTTAATTTGTGTTATCTCGTCTTTGATATTTTTTAACTCTCAACAATCGTAATTACATTGTGTAGGAATCAATGTCAAGGTTGGACTTGATAGTTTTCTTTGTACTATATAAACTTGTGTTAATTTAATTCAGTTATTTACTTACACTGAAGAAGTAGCTTATACTATGTCACGAAACGTCAGAAATACCATTTTACTACTCACTGAGATATAAAAAATACATGTCTATGATTAGTTATATAATGTTTCAAATGATCAACATAATTGCTTTTTGCTAATATTTTTTAAAAATTGAAGTATACTGAAGTAATTTGGACTTCATTTCAAAGTGATACTGATCCAAATCAACAGATTAATTATCTTGGTAAAACGTGTCATCCATTAGAATGGTAATAAATGAAGGAGAAAAGTAATAAGGTTTAACTAAATATAATTCAAGAAAACCTTGAATATTATTACTTCGAAATGAGATTAAGGCTCCTATTGAAACTGGAGTAAAAACAGTTTCATTTTTTAAATTCACTTTGTATTGTTTATTTGAATATTTTCATTGATGATTAGGACTGCGATTGATCGGTCTCTTATTGACATATGTGCATAATGTGCGCGTTTCCTCAATATTGCCTTAATTCACAAGTATTATAAGCAAAGATGGATGATTGCTAGCAATGGAATCCATAATGAGCGTCTTGTCCTATTTAGAACTCATCAGATGTATGTGCCTGCATCCCAGAGTTGATGTTCACTCCAGGACTCAAACCTATTGTCGTTCGCTGTAAATACCATCGCATTATAGATTTAGCTACTGAGTCTTTAAAAGCAAACCTCTAGTGAACAGATTATAGATTTAATTGTACATAAATAATAGTTTTAAATGATAGGTCATATTTTGCTGGGTTGATAACCAAACAAAAACCTGAATTTTTACTCAATAAAGAAATATTTGGTGAACAATTTGCAATCTCTCAGTTTTATGCGCTGTACTACACACAGCAAAAACAGACTATATAAGTGTTATACTTATTCCAATGGTGTTTTTTTTATATTTTAGGGACTTTGGGAGCTCGTGAACTTGCTGCACAAACTATTATTCTATCTATTGGATCTATTAGCTATACTTTGGTAAGCTCAACATAAAATTAATTTGAAAATAATTTGAAAACACTTAGTCAAGTGTTTGTAGTGTCGGTTGACATGTTAAGTACATATATCTTATTCTAGTTTTCGTACAGGCCAATCCATTCATTCTAGTTGAGTCATATTTTGACCTTGTTAATTATTCGCTTATCAACCTTGACTGTTTTTATATGAGTGTATGTTTATGTACATTCTTATCCTATTCATCACATGTCTGTAGCCTATTTATGTGTGACTATAAATATTGATTTACGCTTGATTAAATGGAGTTGGTTCACACGCCATATCAGCTGCTCGTCCTTTCGCATCTCTTTCTACTCTTCGCTTCTCCGATATTTTGTCTGGTTCAAAGATTGTATGAAATATACGTATTCGAAATTCATACTCTTATTTAACTTATTTAATTCCGTTATTGACGAACACGATTGAAGTCCATGATTAAATACGAGGAGAGGCGACATATAAATTTCGACAGCAATCATTCATACGATCTACTTGAAGTCAGATCCCGGGTCACTAAATATTTAAATGAACTAAAAGTTTAAAAATTAGTCTTCTTTAACGAATACTCTTCAATAGTTTGTTATCATTACTATCATATTCATCCATATACTTGGTTTAAATAATAAATGTCGCTGGTTATCAGCAGTTTTGAAAATTAATTCTATTTCGCAACAAAAAACTGTTTGTTTTTAAAAAAAAATTCTCTAACTCTCATATAACCAAAACTTGGCAACAAAATATCGGTTTATCTAATTTAAATATTTGAACTGTTACTAAGACAATCAAATGGCATATAGTTAAACAGATTTCTTATCACCAAGTAAAAATTTATGCAAAACTTAAAAAATACTAAAACTTTAATTATATATATATATATAAATATGAAACTACTTTTGTCTCAAATGTTAGTTTACGTTGTCTAGTCAACCAAATTTATACAGTTGTTTTCATGGAATCATGATACATAATCTAAGTAGGTATTTATATTCACATTTGTTTATGTTGTATTCATATTATTTGTTTCTTTTTAATGTTCCCTTGGTAGCAATATCTTTCAGATACCTTAAAATTGTAGTAATTTTATTCAAACTATATATATCAAAGTATAAATTAAGGTTTTACTAGAATTCAAAAAGTGATTTTAAATATTTTTTAAAGATCAAACCATATAACACTATTTGGCATGATTTCATGTAGTGATCAGTAAGAATGTCCATCATACGATATATCTTGGTCTGTATGAGAGTTATCACTTATTTACATATATACACCAATGCTGATGTTATGCAGTTCATAATAGACAAAAGATTTTTTAAATTCCACAGCGTTATCCATTAAACTAATGTGTTTCACCGTAGAGTTTAAAAGGGGTAGATCACTTTGGAACCAACCTATCATAAACAATGAAGGGACCCTCTTGGAAAGAACTCCCAAAATAAATTATTATTATTATTATCAGCTTTATTCAATATTATATTTTTGGTACAATATAGAATTCTCAGCGTAAAGTATTTCAACAAGTTTCCGTTTCTTTCTTCTTGGTTGGTCCTGGCGATAAATATTGAGTGATCGCCAATTAGATGTTAGCAGTTCAGTAAATGAACATCTGAATAATGTGCATTCTTTTCGCTGTATATTGCCAGCAACCACATTGTCTCTTATTGAGTTTTTTGTAACTTTGACAACGAAAGGTTGTACACTTTTCAGAAACGCAGCAGAATAGGTTATGAGATTAATAAACATAATGATAGATTAAAGCAAACAAAAATAGATAACTTGTTGAAATATCTAGATGGCAGGAACAGGTAACCCAGATGCTCAAGCAGACCGCCCTATTTTTATACTCAATGAATAAGTGTTACCACTGAGGTTTATATGAAAAAATTATTCAGTATTCGTTCGATTGTTTTTAGAGAAACCTCATTTTAGCTATGTACACCTTCCTTGAAACGAAAGATTTTCACACACATTCTAAATACATAATTCTTATAATTCGCTTGTTTTAAAAGGTTATATAATGAAGTATTTCTTTTTCATGTGTTTTTAATAGATGAATAAACAAGGGAATTTTCTTTTTCATGAGTGTATTACTGAATAACACGCAATCAAAATTTTTGGTATTATTATCCCAGACGTTTAGTTATCGTTATATTATGGTGTGTGCTACTTAAGTAGTATATGACGTTAGTCAGGAACAGAATGTATGGCAGCAGAGAGACAAAAGGATCGAACAGTAAAGAATAGAAACAGGATGCAATTTGTATGAAAATGCAATAACAATGAAGTTTGAGTTATTTTGAGACAATAGGTGGACATTTTGCAAATTAAGCATTTACTTTATGATTGTTAGATTTCATTGACAAGTCCTGTAATTTTGTGTCACATACATTCGATTGTCCCCATCCGCGTCGTGTTCACTACAATATATCATGATCTTGTGTTAGATTTTTCAATGGATTTGTACTTGTATATTTCTGAGAAATTTTAAACAAGAAGAAACTAACTGTTCATTTTGAGTTGATTTGTAACACTAATTCCGTCTATGGTTAAAATGTATAATAAAATATAAATGGTTATAGGATGAACTAAAGCTTCAATAACTTCAAATGAATTAAATTAACCATTTGATTGTATAGTTTAAAGTAAAACAATAGAAAAGTTCTCTAAGTTAATTCACTATTTTTCTTTGTTCTATTTTTTTCAACCAAATCAAGAACAAATTAACATACTAAAATAATACAAATTCATCAAGTTTTACAGTTTTTCGTCAATCTGACAAGAATCCACAATACATGATGAATTCATATTCTTCTACTACATGAATTATTCTTGGTTTAGTTGAATTTATAAATGAGAAAAAAAATTTATATAAAATTTCCATTTTGTTTTATTAGCTTCCACTTGGTGTTGGTAGTGCAGCAGGTATACGTGTAGGACAATATCTTGGTGCACAATCTGCTAAAGGTCCATATTCTGTATTCAATGTAGCTATGACATTAGTTGGTAAGTTTAAACTGATTAAAAAAAATTAGTCAATAATTTCATTACTTATTACTAATCAAATAATTAATAATAAATATTTTGTTTTTGTAAATTTAAGGTTTTTGGGCTTTACCATATTTAGGATTTTTAATTGCTACAAGATGGTATTTACCAAGAGTTTTTACATCTGATGAGTAAGTTCAATTTGTTACTTATTGAATTTCTCTTTATTGTTAATCAATTCAAATGGAACAGTATAAGGTATTTTGGTGAGACTATAATTTATGAACTTTTGAGCGATGTTAAAGTAATGCTAAGAATGTCCACTTACTAATAAAGAAGTATGAGGAACGAAAATTATAATATACAGTTGATGGTTAGGCTTAGAAACAAGATTTAGGGTTTTTATCACGAACTGATATCAGCTAAAATGTCAAAACACCATTTATTAAATGCCTTCAGCACTCTCCGTAATACAGCAAAGTTTTTTTCAAAAGCGCGGGAAAGAATAATGGAGAACAGTTAAGAATAATAGGTAATATGCAAGAATCGACAAACTGTAAGAGTAAATTACGAGTAATCCCAAGAGCTTGCAATCTGTTTATGTAGTGAGTCAGACGGAAAACCTTCTTCGATGAATAAAACATGATCATTCAAGCGTTTAGATGAAGATTATGGTAAATAGCCTTTACATCATGATAAAAAAGTTACATTGCTTTTATTCGTTTTTATAATAAACAATGAAAAAATAGAAACGAATAAAAGTTTTTAAGTGGTAAAGAAATCTAAGTGAATAAGCATAAATTCAATATTACTTTCATGCATATTAAAAAAATTAAAGCCGTGACCAGTGGAGTTCAACTCTTTCTGAAGACATTGGTGGACGGTCACTCAATATCATGGATTGATTGAAGTTAGTCATTCATGCCGTTGGATGTCGTTCATATCAGTAGTCTAGAGGTTAAGCGTTCGCGTGCGAGACCCAAGGTATTGAGTTCAAGTTTCAAGTTCGGGGTCGTAGACGCGCAGAGCTGACGAGTCCCCTACTAGGATGAAACAGTTATCCAGTACTTCCAGGTTTTTAATAGTAGTTTATCGTTGATCGATTCATGATCTCAATTAAAATTCAACAATCTCCACAGCCTGTACTGGTAAATCCAAAGAAAAAAACGACTTGTATAAATCATGGAAGATAATAAATACACTTTGTCAAATGCCCTTGATATCTGGGTTAATTATACGCATAGTCTTCTTCGATAATTCTATCGTAAGCAAAAGTGTATATCGATTTAACATAAACTATAATATGTGAGTTAATAATGGGAAAGGAAAAAAAATTAGAAGACTATATTAGTTACAGTAAAAATGAAAAGCATGATATTTCCAAATAGTAGAGGTGGCTAACTCTGACAGAATCTTGAACATGTACATCTAAGAATGCTCACAAAATACTCGTATTTTTCTAGAGTAGGTAGATGGTAACTAGCAGTGGTATCCAAGACTTGAGTCTCGTCATATATGAGGCATATCGGCTTGATGTATCTGCACCCGTACCCTCCGCTTCAGAAGTCCAGAGATGGAACTAAACACTAAAGGTTATATCAGTTATTCAGATTCAATCTTATCAGCGGTACATTTAATAATCTCAACAAACCCCTATATAAATAACTATCATTTACTGTCAAGTAACTAAGTTTGATAGTGAATCCGAGGGTACTACTGATAAACCGTAATTATTAGGATTCGTCTGTGAAGCCATTATAAAAAAATAGGATTGGAAAGTGATTGCGTAGTATAGTGAATTTATCAAAGTTAAACATGTTAACTACCGGATACCGGCTGAGTAGTTCTGAGATTAAGCGATTGCTGTGACACTTTGAATCCCTGGATTCAATCGTCGAGATAATGGTGCATTAACTGAATTTGTTCTAGCATGACAAATATTATAAAGATTGTAGATTGTTGAGAAGTAGGGTTATTAAAATAGTTAAATGGATAATGGTTATTCACAAAATTAGCTTTTTGAGTAAACGAATTAGTATTCAAATGATTAACTTTTATTGCTTTTGCATAATGCAATATCCTCAAATCATTCAGTTTACTAATTATTCAAAATACTGTTACTGAATCTACTATACAGCCCCATATTCTTGATTGTCACTGTTCGTCCAATCTAACTGTATACTTGTTTACATTTTTCCATAAACGTTCGTGGTTCCTTTATTCATTCGACGAACATACAACTGAAAGTATGGGCGAACAATTGAATTAAACTGGAGATAATCAAAAGGATCCTCTTTTCTAGAGTGAACGTTATCAAATTTACAGTTGTGTAAATCAGTATAATACTGACTGTTAGACCACAATTATTCTGAAATCTAAGTTCTTCCTAATTAACTATGAGTCTACGAAATGCAGTTTACAGAGAAACAGTGGGCTTTAGTACTATTTCAATTTTGACCTTAATTAATTGTGAATCAATTTTATTGGACAGTTTTGATCTAAGAAAATTTATTTAACATTTTCTACTAACCTCTTTTTGATAAACATATAAAAATAAAAAAAACTTCACGTGAATAATAGTGTATTAATTTAATGGTGGAATTCATGAGTCGATTAAAGCTAGACCATCATGGAAAACCTGGTAGTACTGGACAGTCGTTTCGTGCTTGCGTGGAACTCCTCAGCAGTGCGCATCCACGATCCCACTCGCAGGACTCAAATCCAGGACCTTTGGTCTCGCGCACGAACGCTCAACCTCTAGACCCCCGAGCTGACCGGAATCCAACGGTGTTAATGTCTAACTTCAACCAACCCACAAGTAATGTATTGTTGTAAATATTAATTATGATAACGACAAATTTATTTATTTCCCAGTACCCTATATGTGAATATCATAGTTCAGAGCAAATTAGCAAAAGTAAATATGTTTTTTCTACTTCATTCAATCTTCCCTATAAACGTACTTGTTTTTAACACAAAATCCTAAATTTGAATTCCTTTACTGCGTAACGTAGATTGATTGATTGGTTAATTGCCCGAATGTACATGATAAAATCAATTATCTAACTGACTATTATTACCAAAAGAAATGATTCATTAGTTACCTTTCCTTTTCTTTCTTTTACACTGTAACTTTTTTAATTCATTTTAGTGGCGTCATTGAACTTGTAGCTGAACTAATGCCAATTATAGCTTATTTCCAAATTATCGATGGTGCGAATGTAAGCTTTTTTTTGTATGTAATAGAAATTAGAAATAAGTATTCGAAATAAATGTAAAATGTCTCTTTTCGACCCCATTAATTGTTTTATGAAGCGATTCAATTTGTTTGTGTATTCGTAGGAGAACGTTTCTAAAACGGATGGTAGATTTGATATGGAGAATGATCAGTAAATTTGAGAATCAGGCTTTATTCCGATGGGGGTCGTAAATTACATACAAAGTTTATATCTAAAACACACTGAAATCTCATATAATGTTTCTTTTATGTCAAACATTTTTGTATACAAATGTACCATATTTGCTCCATGAAACTAATATTTTGCTGATAATTCATCTTGATTTTCGCAGTTCTTGTACTGGAGCTCTGATTTAATAAACTCAAGTTTTCTGATTAGTCATAGATCATATCATTTCAAGTAGTGGACAATTCAATTGATACAGTATTATTTTCTATGTAACTGACGAATTTCGTCGATCATCCAGTTAGCTTGATGAAATGTTTCATCACAAACTGAGACAAGTTGAAGATCCATGGAAAGCTGGGAAAAATTGGGCACCTTTTGATCTTAGTTTGAGATTACTCAGCTATGTGCATCCATTACTGCCGTACTAGATAAAACGAAAGACGTTTAGGTCTTGTGTAGAACACAATGAGTTTCAACAGTCAATTACTGATAAAATTCAGTAATTATCCAATATAATCTATTGTTGACTGTCTTACTCTTAACATGGTTGGCTTTAACAGTCATGTTATTTCTCTGTAGTTTCAAAAAATTTCCCTTATCCTTTGCTAAGTTGACAATTATCTTTGAATAAAAGTTGAGTAGTCTACATTGCCGCAAGGAACATCGTCAATAATCGATTACGATTTCTCCTGAAATATATTAAGATTCCTGTCACAAACAACAAGTCAAAACTAAATAACCACTTAAGAAACGATTGAATTAATGTCGTTACTTTTATATGGTGAATGATGGGAATATTTTCACTAATTAATTACAGAGTAATACAAAACCTTATAATATCAAGCCATTACTGATGTCAGAATTCGATTATGGCTTCCTTCAGACAAGTCTTTATTATTATTATTATTATTAAATTTATTCTAGATTTTTTAGTTTCAGATTACCTTACGTAATATTTTTTTCTTATTTCTTTTAAAGGGTATATGTAGTGGTGTCTTGAAAGGATCAGGTTTACAAACGGTTGGAGCAATTGTAAACATATTCTGTCTTTACATGCTTGCTGTACCACTTGGGATTTGTCTAGTTTATGTAGTAAATCTTAGGTTGACTGGTAGGTGAACAGAGTTTTTTTTTCAAATCCTAGCTGGACATTACTGACCATAAGTAATTAATCTACCTTTACACCATATTGAATATTTCTCATCTAACTTCACTGAAGAATTTACTTATAATTCCTTTGTTCGTCACTTAGACTCATACACTGGAAAAATAATTGATGCATGTAAAAATATATTTAAAGCGTAATGTGAGACTGGACAACGTAATTTAACTTGGTAACTGCACCATATTTTTCTTAAAAACAACTTGAATAGTTTCTAAATATCCTTTACAAATGTTTCGATGTACGCCGAGCATATAACCTTTAGACCACTAGATTAATACTCCAGTGATGTACACCACTAAGGATTTCGATAACAAGAATGAAACAGCTACTCAGTACTTTCTAATTTTCAGTAGTTACCTTACTAAGATCAACCAATGATATATGTTAGAAAATTCAACAATCTCTATAAACAACCCATATTTGTAACAATATCAATGTTTCATTTTATAAACGTGATTTAAACATACAAGTGGATAACATTTATTTCCAATACATAATTCTTAGATTTCACATTCATATGAAAATATCAATCATAATGATTTAATGCAAAGCTCTTAACCAATTGAGCCCAGCTCGTGGATAACGATGATTGATGGTTAATGAAAGTTGTTTGGATATTAAGGGGTGTAGTGATAATAGTAGAGAAATGAATATTGAAGATATTTTCCAACTTAGGGTTGTAGAGATTGTGGTCTGTACGTTAAGCACTGTGAGCGAGACCGAAGGTGCTGGTTACGAATCCCGAGTACGGAATCTTGAATTTGCACTGCTGACAAGCCTCCTACTGAGGCCATCTAATGCTTCTAAGTTTCCAGTGGTTGTTTAACATTGGTCAGTTCGTGATTTTAATTAGATGAAAATATTATGATGGTGCTACAAAAAAATCTAAAAATTTCAATTAGGTTAAATCTTGGGTGACAAGATAGCTTATCAAAACATTATACAAATTACCCATTTCTTAATACTACTGTACAAATTGTGTGAGTACTCAAAGCCTAAATATATTTTAGAAATGGATAAAGGATAGAAAAGATGCAAACAAAAACAAGCTTGGAAGTGACGATCTAGAAAAATCATTTACTTGGCAGTCTTATAACAATCAAAAGGTTACAAGAGTACAAATTTTCTTTGAGCATAAAGTTTAAGACTGCTAACTCAAACTAAGTCAAATAACAGCTTAGTTTTATCCCAATTTATTAATGTTGAATACATATAGTAGATAACACTAAAGGATTGAGGACTATTCATCACACACTAACAGGATTTAAAGTCAGCTTTTATATGTGGTGGATTTTATGAAAATCGGTTTATTTCCAATAAAAAATGTTAATGTACACCATTTGCATTTATTATCAATAGTCCCAATAATTGCATCGTAATGCTATTTTTAATTCTAATTCACAAAATAAATCGTCAACTTTGACTGTAAAAAATACGCTTTGATTTTGAGAATATGCACATTCGGACTGAAAGGAATTAATGGAAAGTTTTGTAAAAAAAATTGGTTACATACCACAGTAAATTATCATTAAACGATGAACCTTATCAATAAATAGTACTGATATAATAGAGATAAAAAGTATTTTATTTTTCTTCACAATATAATACAATAATACGACAATACTACTTGTTCATCAAATTATGCGATCACTGGATATTAATTGAATAATATTACTGAATGTACTAGATCACAATATGAAACAGTTCGATCACTATGCTGGATCACTTAGTAAATACTGATATAATATCCAGCTGACAATAGAGAGCCAAATAATAGAGAATGAATAATTTATTCAAATAAAATACAATCATGAATGGATCATAATCTTAATCAAATACTCAACAATTTCCATAAGCCTATGATAATAACAATACAATCAGTTCACATCTAGATAATCCAGTATAGAAAATAATCAAAGAAAAGTATTCACAACATTAGTGTTTCAATGTTTAACAAGATTGGGTGTCTATTTCTCTTCATTTATTGAATAATATCAGTCCATTAGCACACTTATTATCAAACATAAATGTATAATGAACGAGTAAACGTTTACTAATTAAATTAGTTTCTTTTTTCTATCATTTCTAACAATAAAATTCTACTGTATATTGATTGGTAAGTTAAGAACACGAGAGTGAAATATGAGTAACGATTGACATTATGAAATTTGATTGAATCTGTGTATAGTACAATCGATGAATTGCTTATTCGCCCTTTTTTAAAAATCTGATTTACATTCATTAGCTGTTTGACTTTAAAAAGAAAAAAGAAATCATCATTACATTGTTATATAATAAACTTTTTTATGTTATATAACAGGTATTTGGGTCGGTCTCATTGGTGCTGCAACATTACAAGTGTCTACATTATGCATAATATGTTACCGTTTGAATTGGACAACACAAATCAAATTGGTATGTAATGGTAATTGATTAAGAAAACATAATAAATAATGATCATCAATCTAAAGTAATTTTACTTTTCAAAACAAAACAAAACATCTGAAGTCAACTGAAACTAGACCACCATGGAAACCCAGGAAGCACTGGATGACCGTTTCATCCCAGTAAGGGACTCCTTGGTGGAGTTCTTATGCTTCTGTTGTGAGATAGTAGCTCACTGAAGACAATGGTGGACGGTGGTGCGGTTTCGTTGATCGGTTAAAGTTGGAAATTAATACCGTTGGATGTCGGTCAGTTCAGTGATCTAGAGGTTAAGCGTTCACGTGTGAGACTCAAGGTCCTGGGTTCGAATCTTGCGAGCAGGATCGTGGATGCACATTGCCGAGAAGTTCCATGCTAGGACGAAACAGCCTCTCAGTGTTTCCAGGTTTTCTATAGTGATCTAGATTCAAATGACTCAAGAAATACAAATGTTATCATTTTCGCCAGTTAATGATTTGAGGAATTTATATTCTACATATTGACTTTATTACTTTTAAATATGAGATATGAAATTAGGATAGTTGAATTGTACGTTTCTATTGTATCTGCGAATATATTCTTAACTGATATAAATATTGATGATTATTTATTTCTGTGTACGACGTTATTTATTACGAATGGTATTTGATTGACGTTTAAAAGTAAAGTGAACGGACATTCAGGTGAGAACAAACAATTTATTGTTTAACGCAAAATTACGGAGTTTTTACGTAAAATGTGAAAACCATACATTAAATACTTCATTTGTCAACCTTCCATCAATTATCCTCTACATCCTTCATGATTCTTTCAATTTTAACTTTCTTTATGTTTTCTTTCTGTTTTATTCAGTTAAATCTTTTCAACCTTCTTTTGACAAGCATTCTATTTCTGATTGATGTTCCATACTACTTATGTTTTTCGGCATACATTAATATCGATCAGAATTTACTAGGAAAAGTTATGTAATACGCGACGTAGAAGTTTAGGAAGTACTATATATTGTCACTATCGTTGTTAACATTTAATACCATAATTTGATCAATCTTTAATGGAATAGAAACTACTTGAGTGCTTTTATGGATACTGTTTTAATATGATGTATATTCAATAGATGTTGGTAACTGAAGTATTGTAAGATGTTTTCACAAATCTGTTTTAAGCATTTCAAAAATGTATCACCAAAATCAAAAATAGATCTGTATATTATACTTGTATGTGAATTGATTTTTTTCCGCTCATTGAATCTAACACATACTTATTACGTGTCATATCATTCACATTTATAGAGAGTATTTTAAAATGTCAAGACTCAATTATGCGAAATAATCCAAATGTTCCTTTAGTTAAGGTTTGTTTGTTGTTTTTTGATCATTAGTCCTATTAATTTATTGTCACTGTTTATATCTGTAGGCTAAAGAAAGAATAAAAGTAGAGAATGAATCATCAGAAATGGCTATGAAAAATCTTGGTGAAATTACTGCTACTGGGATTGTGAACGTTGATGAAGGTAGGTAAAATTATAAATACACAAAATGAATACATAAAATGTATATGCTCATTTTATCTAGTTAATTCTTTTAAATGCCTATATTGAACAGTCTTAGAATGAATGTGATAATTAATAGAATAATTAATTTAATAATCGTTACATGTTAAATGGTTTCCATGGATTTTAAATGCATTTGTGGTGTGTGCTACTTATATCGACATAACTAGTCTATAACGCTAGTCAGGAATAGAATGTCTGGTAGCAGAAGATTGAAAAGATCGAGTAGAGAAGAACTGGAACTGAAAGAAATTGATATGGAAATGTAGGAACAATAAAGTCTGAGACAATTAATGAACATTTTGTAAATGAAGTATTGCATCATGGTTTTTCTACTTTATCAAGTGTTATGAAATCTTTTTACACATTGTACTTGTATTCTTTGTAGCGGTAAATTAGACTGAAGGGAATAATCCATTATTCTGGTATCTATTTAAACTGTTGTAAAAGGTTATGTCAGTCAACACTTGAATAGTGCAATAAAAGAGTAGAAATTGTCTGAATATTCTTACCTGCCGAATACTTATCATCCAAGCTCATTAGTGTCGTAGAAGCAACAGTCGGGGAAGAAGGGACAAAATACAAATTGTCAAGACAATTCGACAGATAAGTGAACTCGCTCGTCAATATTGTGTCAAATTAGAATAATGAACCGAAATTCTTGAGAATTCCTGACATTTTAATTCATTTGAAATCAAAGAACATTTAGGTCTTATCTGTCAACAAGTCATATTTTGTCGTGCATGCAAAACGTTTCACCTGTTTTTTCATAAATAGAAATCAATATTTTATCCATCGATGCGTTTCATGAGTATTCCGTTTCCCTTTGTACTACATGGTACTTGCAAAAAGCTTCCTACTCATGTTTATCTTTACATAAATTGAGTTGTCATATACAACTTAGATAGGAGCAATGGTCACGATTATTTGAAAATTTGTTTAAAAATATTTGAAAACTATTGAATTGTATGCGATTGTTTCTCTAAGAAGTATAATTACATTCTTCAAGAAATATTTGGACAGCCTTATTAATAAAAGGACTTTTGAAAATAACAGTTTACATGAATGTTTGTGAACCATGCTGCATTTGTTCATATTTTTGATAAGATGTTCAAGGTCAATACAGTTAGTTCGTTCTATTTGTTGTCGCTTATCCCAACCTGAAAAATACCTAGTATTATCGAGATAGGTTTTGTAAATTACTTCTCAACATTACAGGTCTTTTTTATGAAAACCGTATGTTTATTAGGCAAAAGTAACTCTCGTTTACATTTTCAGGTGATGATTTAATTAAGACGATTGATGAAAGATCATGTTTTTAGTTTTTATCATCAGTAAAATTTCACTTTCCAGAACCCTCAAGTCACTACCACACGGAGAGTCAAACATGGAACATTGAGGTTTTGTGTTAAACACAGTATTGTTTAATTGAAGAGTCGCTATCAAATGACTTGAATTTCTAATTTCAATTGATCCTCTGTGCAGTGTAAGCGTTATCTGATGAGTAATTCTGGCATTCCGAGCACCTACAAACTACCTAAATCATTAGATTTGGGAGATATCTCACTAAGTTTCAACAAAAAGCGAGTCTTTTGAGTTCAGTCGTGTCGGTAATCAAACAGATGGTCGAGTAACACTGTCAGCAGTTACAGATGTTAACCAAATAATTCACTTTAAAGGTACTCCTATAAAGATTTACAGGTTTTTAGTGCCTAATCATGTCATATGATTGTACAACCGAGTTGTTTAAAAGTCGCAAAACACAGTGGCATGACGACAGTTTTGAATAAAAGAAATTATCGTTTACTGAAAATATAAGAACGTCTAGATCTTACCTCACTATTATGAAATATCCAAGGTTTGAGTGCTGTTTCAAACCTCCTAGCCGTAGCCCATTGATTCATTCTGTAGTTAATAATCAGCGTACTAGATAATAAACAACATTGAACGATATTTTTCACAGTAACTAACTCATAATTTGCAATTTACTGTAAGAGATATTATTTCTAACTGGTGTTTTTAAATCTCTCTGGAAATAATCATATAATATTAATGTTATCAAATTTATACTTTCTAGTAATGAAATGTACAACTATTCGTTGTAGTTTTATCAAAAAAATTGTTGTACTTGTCTTAAGTTCATTTGAGCAAACTAAGTCATATATATATATAATACAATGGATAGGATTTATAGTTCAAATAAATGCTTTGATAATGTTCAGTCATCTGAGCCTAATAGTTTAATTATGTACCTAACACTAACTTCTAATCATATTATTGATTGACCTTTGTCAGAGATTAATGAAAATAAGATAGTCAATTTAAATATAAGCATAAAGGAAAGCAACAAAATCTACGACTACAATAAGTTATTAACAAGGTTACCAGGACGAAGTAACTTCAAAGCATACTTCTACATGAAATAAGAGTTGATTTTGTTTAAATCAACAATATAATAGCTCCATAACTCAATCATTTGACTTAGTAGACTGAATAATTCCAATTTCTGTATCTGTTTAACATTTTATTATCGCCCTCGTTACAAAATGCTAACCCAATAATTTAGTCAATCTAACATTAAACCTAATGTAAAACAAGCGGTAAAACTATAATTTATGAACGAACTTTGAGTGACGCCAAAGTGACCTTGACAATGTTTACGTACTTAATAGTGGTAAGCGAATATTATAAAGTAAGTTGAAGAATTAAGACAATGATTTACAGTTAATGATAATGGTTAGGATTTCAGATTTATAGTTTACATCACAAACTGACATCCACGAAAATGCCAACACGCTATGTGTGAATGAATTTTGAGCCAAAATTCAAGACCACTTATCCTGAATCTGATTGGTTTGTCTATAAATTTGTTGTATCCTGATAAGAATAATGAATGGTAATTTTTGGGATCCATTTATCGACCAATGTTATGAGTATATTTTTATCGTATAATTGGTAAGTAACTAAACTGTTCATATTCATGTCACTCTTATCATAAGCTTTATTTTAACTCATGAATTATTATTGTACTATTTACCATTCATGAATTATTCCCTGTCTGTTAACCACTACCTCTCTCATTCACAGCCACATCTGTCTAACTCCGGTACAAATGTTGTTTCGTATTTTATTGGTTCGTTGTAGTCAGTTTGTTTGGTATATAAACCCAGTATGCTTGAAATATAATGATTCATATCTCAGAGGCTAAGACTTGCGCTCTGAACTCAACTGTTTGGGCTAGACAGGGAAGCAGGACCAATCGGGACTCTAGGTCGTTCTTACGTGTTTTATGCGTCTTTGGTCCGATCGATGATTCACTGCGCTCTAATCTGCATTTTCAGGGTTACAACAAAAACAAAACAACTTTACCACATTCCCCAACGTATTATTAAATGATAATAAATCAAACTTTCTTTTTTTTCTTTTCTTTTTTTTCTTCTATTATAAGCAGATATTCATATTTCGCAGAAAAATCATCAATTTAATCATTTATCAATTGAACAAAATCATAAATCAATAAAACAACAAAATTCATTGAATAAAATTATTTTAAGAAATAGAATTATTTTAATTATAATTTTATTTTTAATTCTTATTTTAAGTATTTTATGTAAATTATTAATTAATTTACAAAATTATTTTGGTATTTATTGTGTTTATAATAATGATACATTTATACAAATTACTAATTATAATATTACTGATAATTGTACAGTAGTGATTCCATAAAAAAAACTAAAAAAAAATCTTTTTAAAAAAAATTAAAAAAAAACTTTTTTGGTTGTTTTTTCTTTTTTTTTCTTTTTTTCTCTCATGAAAAGGTATAGTCGCAACTAATCTCATTACAACTTACCCATTATAATACTACTAATAACTGTACAGTAGTTACTTCATAAAAAATAAAAAAATCTGTTGAAAAAATAAAAAAAATTGTTTGGGTAGTGTTTTTAGTTGTTTTTTTCCCATCAACTAAAAAACATTCACTAATAATTTTATATTTAATGTTTGTTTCTTTTCTTTTTTATTCAAGAAAAAAAGTTTTTACGAATTAATTAAAAATAGAGTATAGAATACAAAAATAAAATTGATTAATTTATGATTATTATTGAACATTGAATTTATTGATTAATATAGTTTAATTATATTGTTTGTGAAGACGGACCACGGGTGAACTCGACGAAGCTGTAGAAGGCTCAAAAGAAGCTGAAGATATTCCATCCAACCAGCTTTCGGAAGAATGTTCTAGAGTTCCTATGTGTAGCTTCCCGGTTGGATAATGCTAATAACCACCTGTATGCTGATCGGTGGAATATAATGATGATTTCATTCTTACTAAAAATTATAAATACTTGACAATTCTGAACTATAATGAACACTGTTGGAATAATATTCTTTTCGTTATTCTTCTGTCTTTTTTATGCGATTTGGAGGGTTTTTGGTGTTCTAGTACTCTGGTATACGCGGTATATCAAGGAATCAGCCTTTAAAATATAACACGATTAATCGTTAATGAAGAAAATACTATTTTCTAATTTGTTTAGATACATTTTTATAAACTTAAATATTAAATTTTGGATAGATTCTGCCTTGTTATTGAAAATTTAATATTTAATCATTTTAATTCGAATATTATTGATGTATGACCACGTGGAGTATGGAATGGTGAGCATCAATATTCAATCAGATGTTATATCATTGTTGTGAACTGAACATGGATGGGGACAATCGAATTGTATTGAGCACAAAATTACAGAGTTACTTAGTAAAATAGAAAAACCATATAGAAAATCGTTAGTTCGCAAAATATCAATCCATCATATCAACCTGGACTGTTCCTGTTGCAAACATCAATCTATTATTTCACATTTCATTGTTCATGCGTTTTCTTACAAATTGTATTGTGTTCCTGCTCTTCCTTTCTTGATCTTCTCTCATCTTCTGCTGCCAGACATTACGTTTTTAACTCGCGTCATATACTACTTATATCAATATAAGTAGCACACACCATATCACTGCTTGTTGTCATTGTTTTGTTATATCACAAGAAAGACAATTTTTTTTATAGCCTAAATCAAGTACATGTTTATGAATTATAATATGAATTACAGCATTTTTATTATAGCTAGTAACATTATCTCATGGATTAAGCTGAATTAATAGAATGAGGTTTAAACATGTTATAAATTGATTGAAAGGTAAATTTGAACAGTTTTTGTCTCAGTAATTTGATAGTCTGTGAATGAAACATATTAGATAAGTTTATTTCTTAACCTACTCATTGAAATTGATTTAATCCAGTTTCATTATCAGTACCGATTATCTTTAGTTCATACAACTGATATAAAAAAATTATGAATAAGGACTTATAAAAAATACAATAAACATTGAAGCAATAAAAGCATCGGTTTCTTCCAATACTATAGGCTTTTGTTTGAAGTTTGTAGGAGCTTATCCTAGAAGTTATGATCAAACAGCAGATAATAACTTATCAAAACAGTCATTTGTTATATTAACCGATATCATAGATTAACCTTTCTTTTTTGCTTGTTTCATTTAACTTTAACATGAATGAAATAGTGTTTATCATGAATATCATTTAAATATTAAGCTTAAAGTAATAACAATGCTTTTTGTATGATAATCACAAATAGATCTGAGAAAAACATGTTTCTAAGCCACACTATTTTACAGTACATAAAATACAGGCCACATCTCTGAAGTGACTGTGATAGAATACATCTGACTTTCAAATATTTAGTGCTCAAAGTGGCTGAAATTGTTTATGCTAATTGATAGCTGTACGTCGAAATATTGATACTCATATTATCTTCAATAATGTAATTCTAAAGATAGCCCAATATAACATAAACCATTTACCCTCATAAAAACTATCATGTTGATGTGATAATTGATATGTATGTGTTTTTCAGTAAACTTTCTGATTATCTAACACAAAAAGCAATAAATATAAACTTGTATCAACTAGACAATTTAGGCTCTATCAGTAAGAATGATTGATGGATAAAACAATCATGCAATAATATTATAAAAAAGAAAATAACACTTCAAGAAATCATTCGTTTTTACTTGATATATTACTTGTAATTTTCTAAATAAAGTACGGAAAAAGAACTAACAGTTGGCTATCATTCAAGCTATTAGTTTAAATTAAGTCCCAATGATACTGCATTAGTTCAAAATGGGAGAACACCTAAAGTTATTCATAATTCAAATACATAGAACATTATCCCTAATATTGAATTGATGTAATAAAAGCTGTTGTTTAGTTGGGTACAAAATAAAAATTCACAGTTTATCTGGATAAAACCCTGTAGATAAATCTTCATCAATATTATGAATTATCTTTACGTAGAACCTAGAACTGATAAACTTTATTTCGTAGACATAGGTAGTTTATCTTCAAAAAATAGTCATGTAGCCTGGATAGTTGGAAGATTATTGCTTTCGAACGATATTTTACGGTTGATTTTTCGTAAATCAATGAAATATGACACAGTTACTTTGCTATACTTCAATACTGCAGAGTTACTATCTGACAGTTTCATAATAAAAGGTGGAAACGTTTCATAGATAATATTCTGGATTTTATAGTCTCTTAAGAAACACCACATGGAAGGCCATTAAACAATGTCTATTCATAAGTCTTAGAATATGAGGATCGTAAAAATCATTCAGTTTGAAGATGGATCACATCTAAAAGTGACTTAAGCTAGATAACCATTGAAAATAAGGTTATATAGAAAACTTTTTTATGCTGTTGTGGAACTGTCTAATGAAACATCAAGAACCGTGTTTGGATATGCAACCCCGGACATTGATGCCTCTTAAGAAACAAGCTAGATCCAGACTACTGAGTTCACTCTAGGTGTTTCACAGTTTCAATGTTGGTCAATTTGTAGTATTGCTCGGTGATTACCGATTTTTGTCAATGATACTTATCTCAATCGCAACCTATCTAAACTTCATTGGTCACCATTTCTCATAAAGTTGGTTACTAGTGAGTGCATGACTTTTATCATGTCAAAATCCATAAACTCCTAATTTGGGAAATCCCCATTAATGAAGTGAAATCTTGTCAAAAGTGAGAGATGTTAGTTATTGGCCATTATTCAATATTGTGGACTAACTGAAATTCGAAAAGTGAGGTGCTAGATTACAACTCAGTAATCTACAGAAAAAGCATGAACTTTGAAAATTGGAAGTCTTGATTTCAACCATGAACTGATGGAGGCTACATACCATACAACAATAGCTGTTCAATGTTACTTAGTTTTCAGTAGTTGTCTAACTTAATTCAGTCCATCATGTGAAATACCCTTAAGTTTCTTATTCATCTCATATTGGATTGAAAGTTGACACTAAATTGAAGCACACAGGAATTTTTTTCTTTAAATATCTCAAGACATCCAGATTTGTCTGACGGAATAAACTGATCTTTTAGAACGAACTCTGAAGCAAATAGATTGTATAATCATATGGTCTGCAGCAAAATTTAATATGAATTGAACAAAAACACCCTAACTAAGTTCCAGTGTATATTCACGAGGATTTATTTTTATAGTGATATATAAAAATATAGGCCACCTACTCCTATCATCTAGATATTATCTGCTTTTCTTTGCGTCAGCACATCATTATGTCCATTAAACGCATAACATATTCAGGCATGTTTATGAAAAGTCTATGACCTTTTGCTGTACAGATTACACAAAAAGTACAATCACAGACATCGTGGTGGCTGGCAATATCCATTGAAAGAATGAACATCATTTCGATGTTGATTACTGAACTGCTAAAGTTTAACTGGCGATCACTGGGCAGTTGTTTCGTCCCAATGTGGGACTTCAAAGGAGTGCGCACCCATGATCCAGTATTCAGGATTCGAACCCACGATGCGGATGCGTACTGCTGCGGAGCCTCATACTCACACAAAACCGCCATCCAGTGATTTCAAGTTTTCCAGAGTTATCTAGCTTTAATTGACTCATGAATTCAATTAATAAATTATTCAATATAATTTCATACTCTTTTCTCTTCATGCATATAAAAAAGTACCCAATTTACTTAGTAATTTTAGTCAGTTTCGGATGTAGTGAATTAAGTATATGATAAGAACTAAAAAAAACCCACAGAAACTGTGTCCAGATACAGTCTCTTTTTCTACCTTGATCAGTTGGTGACGCAATAACTCAATATTTGTAACTACCATAATAAAAATAAAAGTAATATATCTGATACTCAACTTCTATTTCCTTTCCAAATTTTTCTAATCAAAATATATCTAGTTAATTATTTTATCCATGTACATTTGAAAAGTTAATTAATTAATTCATTTTGGCTGAATTCATAACATTCGATTTATTACGCAATCACAAATCAAACACCATATTTTTTGTATTTTTTTATTTTCACTTTTATTAATTTACCCAGTTACATTTGATCTACTAATCCGGTTTAAGCATACAGTTTAATATATATATAATAAGAGGGACTTTGTGGATATTATAATGATTTAATAGTTGAATTCATGAGTCAATTGTAGCTACACCACCATAAAAACCCTGAATTGGTTGAAGTTAAACATTCAAGCCGTTAGTTGCTGGCCCAATGGTCTAGTGGTTAAGCGCTGAACGCGTGACTGATGTGTCCTGAGTTCGAATGCAAAATGCGGGATCGTGGATGCGCAGTGCCGAGTAGTACCATACTAGGACGAAACGGCTGTTCATCTTAAATTCACTGTTGATATTTGCCTTCATAAATCTATATTCACCATAAAAGTGATTAGTTCGTCTAATGGTTCCTCTGTACTTACAACATTAATATCCGAGGAGACTCTTTACTGAATAAGGAACGACTCATTGTATATGCTTTTAAATTATTTCATTTTAAAATATATTTTATTCAAAGTTTCAATTTAAAATTGCTCCATAGCTGTGTGTGTTTTTGTAATTAAATCATTTGAATTAATCGTTTTTTCTCCATCCCCCACCGCCAAAAAAATTAATAAAATGCATGTTTTAATAATAACAATTCTCAATGATCTTATCTTCTGAAATTTAATGTGATTAGGGTAACAATAGATGCGTGTAGTTCCGTTTCAATTATGGTTCATAAATAAGGCTCAATCAAACTAATAAACCGAAGAAATCAAAGGTGAAGTCAAGGTAAAACCTTCAATATATGCAGGATAATTACAAGAACTATTAATTCATTAAGTCATTACTGTCAATAAGTAGTAGTGTGGTGCGTACTACTTATATTGATATAAGTAGTATATGACGCGAGTTAAAAACGTAATGTCTGACAGCAGAAGATGAGAGAAGATCAAGAAAGGAAGAGTGGGAACACAATGCAATTTGTAATGAAACGCATGAACAATGAAATGTGAGACAATAGATTGATGTTTGCAACAGAAACAGTCTGGTTTGATAATGATGGATTGATATTTTGCGAACTAACGATTTTCTATATGGCTTTTCTATTTTACTAAGTAACTCTGTAATTTTGTGCTCAATACAATTCGATTGTCCCTACCCGTGTTCTGTTTACTACATTAGTAGTAGTAATAATAGTTAATTAAATCCGTTCAATCAACATTAGAATTTAATACATACTAAATCAATAATACGGAAAATTGTTATTTCTTTAGACTCTTATCAATAAACAATACTAGAGCCTTATTTTCTTTCCAATAAAACTTGAAACGAACTTTGTCTGATTCTAAAAGTCATAAATTGTTTTTGTTTCCTTAGAAGAAACTACACTGAATTTTGTAATTAATTCATTTAACAAACTATAACTTAACATTTCTCAAAATTGTCTTTTTTATTAAAAAAAAAACAAGAGACAATAAATAGACAGTGCAAGTTTCAATAGTTGAAATCATGAATTATTTGAAGCTAGACCACAATGGAAGACCTGGTCCTGGGTTCGAATCCTCCGTGGGACGGGATCGTGTATGTGTACTTCTGAAGAGTTCCATACGAAGACGAAACGGATGTCCAGTGCTTCCAGGCATTCCATGGTGGTCTAGTTTCAATTAATTCATGATTTCAATTATTGAAATTTCTAAAATCTCCACACAATCCC